TAAACAACACTTAATTACTTCTGCTCTCTCAAATTCATGTCCCTGTTGCAGCCTGTTAATAGACTTATGTAATATTTGTGATTTTTGTTGGTTGGGTAATGGCTCTGCAGTATCATTGTCTTGTTAAAGATTAAACCTTCAGATTCATACAGATTTCTTGTTATAAATGGATCTAAAACAGTAAGTTTTGGACAGCACAAAATTTAGTGTTTTATTGCTACTACAGTATTTTATCATTAATGGTCAAATAGTAAAAAAATTAAAATATTAAATATTAAAATGCAAGCAATTCTTAATAAAGAGGTTAAAATAATATAAGCTTGCAATGTTATTTATCTAATATAACTTCATATCTAATATCTAAATAAATTCAAGAAGACACTTTATACATGTCATATTAATTAGCAAAATTTATTCTTAGGAAAAATAATGAAGTTAAGTTGCATTATTGTTGAGTGACTGGTGCTTTGTGGTATCTTTCTGCATACCAATAAGAAAGTAGTCATGTTTTCAACTGCTTCAATTCTCTATACAAATGTGTGCAATGATCCTTAGAAGATTTAGTTGTGGCACTTCACTTTAGGGAATGACATTTCAGAGACTACGATTGATAACTAACGAATAGTAAACTCTGCCCAGGGACATTAATTTGAGAGAGCAGAAGTAATTAAGTGTTGTTTACATAAACATTCTTTATCTCTGTGTGAAGCCAGTATGAAGTTAATTAAGGGGCAAACCATGGAGGAAATATGAGTTGATCTGCAGGAGGAGCACCAACAAACTCGTGGACTCGTGGAGTCCTGTAGCTCAGTGGTTCGAGCACTCGCTTTGCAAGTAAGAGACCTGAGTTCAATTCCAGGCAGGGCGAAACCTTGGGCAAGTTTCCTTACTCCACACGCCTAATAATAATCCCTCCAAAACCAAAAACAATAATAAATTGGTCATTTTCAATCTACGACTGTTTGTGGGACATAGCTGTGCGCAATTGGCTGCCGAGTTCGCCCACAAATATACAGTCAATTCACTTTACAGTGTGTTCTGTGAAGCACTTTGGGATGTCCTCCCGACGTGAAAAGCGCTATATCAAATGCAAGGATTATTATTATTAAACTGGGAAAGTGAGTCTTAACCTGCTGAAAGGTAACAGGACTTCACTGCATCCATTATTAAAGTGTCTGCATTGTGTTTATTTTTGTTCTTTCTCATTCTGTAAATCAGATTCACAAAGAAAAAGGGGCATTGTAGGCCAGGACACCAGGGACAATTTCCTTCTTTTTTAGAGGAATGCTGTGGGATCAGACAGATGGTGCCTAGGTTTCACATATCAGTTGAAAGATGTATCTCGAACAATGCAGGACTTTGAGTACCACACTGTATTGGAATGTCAACCTAGACTAAGTTCAAAGTCTTGACATGAGGCTTGAGTTCACAACCTTCTGAATTTGAGATTGAGTGCCAACCACTGCCAAAGGCTAACATGTTCTGCCTTTCATGGCATTGGTTCAGATTATCTGTCCAATCACTTATGGAGCTGGTTTATCTAATGCAGGGGTGGGGACGACAACTAAATTTATATTTATGTAGAAAGAAGAATTTGCTGTTTGGTTCACTATAACTTTGCAGGAACCGATGGTTGAAATAGCACTGAATCAAAATTTTTTATTGTGGCATATGAACATGTGGCAGGATTTAATTTCTTTGTTATTTATAAACATTCAAATCCATTTCAGTAGATGCATTTCTGATAAATGCAAATAATACAAATCATATTTATTTAATCAGAAGTGCAGAGATCTTTCATAGTACACCAGGTTTACAAATCGTGTTAATTTTATATGTAAATGTGATTTAGTTACCCAGCACATAAGCCTGTAACAGAAATATCTGAAGCAGACTCCACAATGCATGAAATCTTCTGGGGCTTAATTTTTTCAGGTTTTAATCATTCTAATAAAAGTTGCAAATCTATATTTACCACATGAGTGACTTCATCCAGAGAATATGGCCCAACTTTTAGTGTTTTATTAATTTTTTATAATGAATGCCTTTTGGATAAACCAATGGTACCTTGATATATCAGGTACTATGGTGTCTTTCTAATGAATTGTTTGAAGTCAGCAACCTTTCTAGTTCTGACACAAATGTTGCACTTAGTTTATGCTACTTTACATAAACCTGGCTCGTTTATTCTTTTTTTAAAAATCAATTGGGTTCACAATATTAGATATCCTGACTTTCATCAGTTTTTGTGTTGTAATTTTGAGTATTTGAGGTGGTTGATGTTTGCCCTTCATTTTATAACAGTACAATGCTGTTTCCTCCTAATCTCTTTCAGGCAACAAAACCAGGTGCAAAAAGCCTTAACATATTGGATCAGTGCTTGCAACACAGTTGCTTCAGAGCTTATTTGTGTAGTTTTGATGAGGATACTTGTTAAAATAAATATGTCAGGAAGTTGTTTTGCATTTAGTTACTCTGAGTTGCTATTCACATGAAGGGCACTATTGTTGTAAACAAAATATTGTTGGCCACAATCTTTCAATCCTCCTTGGATATGGGAGTAGTCCCGAAGGACTGGAGGGTTGCAAATGTTACACCCTGTTCAAAAAAGGATAAACCTGGTAACTACAGTCCGGCCAGTCAATCTAACTTTGATGGTGGGGAAACTTTAAGACAGCATAATTGGGGACAAAATTAATTTTTACTTATAATAATAATAATAAATCTTGCATTTGATATAGCGCTTTTCACGTCGGGAGGACTTCTCAAAGCGCTTCACAGAACACACTGCAAAGTGAATTGACTGTATATTTATGGGCGAACGCGGCAGCCAATTGCGCACAGCAATATCCCACAAACAGTTGTAGATTGAAAATGACTAATTTATTATTGTTTTGGTTTTGGAGGGATTATTATTAGGCGTGTGGAGTAAGGAAACTTGCCCAGGGTTTCGCCCTGCCTGGAATTGAACTCAGGTCTCTTACTTGCAAAGCGAGTGCTCTAACCACTGAGCTACAGGACTCCACTACTTAGAAAAGCATGCTAATTAATGACAGTCAACACGGATTTGTTAAAGGCAAATCGTGTCTGACAAAATTAATTGAGGTCTTTGTTGATAACTGAGAGGATTGATGAAGGTAGTGCAGTTGATGTAGTGTATATAATCCCTTCCAAAGAAAAATAATAATAATTTAGTCACTCAATCCATGACTGTTTGTGGGACACTGCTATGTGAACTGAAAATTATCCAAATGTCAGTTGAGATAACTAAAGTGAACATGAGAAGGGGCAAAACACAATAAAAATGCAGAATGCGTTTTTGAGCATGAAAGGAAACTTAAATCAATGGATTGAATAGTTGGACAATTATATACAATATATGAACCTTTATGTGATAGGTTGGGGATCAAAAATTATTGGAGAATCAGAAAAATAAATGTCACAGTAGGTGAATGAAGATTGTAAAGATTTCAGATACAATATGTAGAGCCTAATAAATGTGCATTATGCAGAAACTCAATTAAATGTCTCCAGGGATCTCGACTGAGGAATGTGTACTTTGCACCATTATGCAGCAATCTTAACAGTCTGATATTAAGTTGATTCCCTCTGTTGATTTTTCTTTGGCTCTCATTCCATGAATTGTTCCTCAGAACAAGATTGATTTATGATGCATGGAAAGAACAGGTGATTGGGATTTGAAGATTTTGTGAATGAGGTAGCACCATTTTACGCTTGATGGGCCAAGTAGCAAAAATACAGATTGTGTATTTGACTACTAAACTGTAATTTTTATTATTCCATGAAATGTATAGAGCGTTTTTTTTTGACTGATTAATGACAGTCACCCCTTTCTCTGAATGACATGTTTGATTATGTACATGCAACCTCAATTATATTTATGGATTGTATTGCTCTAATAACCCAGTTTCTTCTAGGTCATGCTTACTAAAATTTCTTTTTGCTTGTGTTAGAACTACTCTATGAAAGAAAATAATGATTTCCATTTATAAATCAATTCCTATTATTTGTGTTGTTTTATCTGCATGGGTTGTATTTCATAATTATTGACGATAGTTTTTATTTAAATGTGCCACAGATACTTCTATCAAAATATTTTTGTTCCCATTCTATATAATAGTTATAATAATAATCCTTGCATTTGATATAGCGCTTTTCACATCTTCTAGACGTCACAAAGCGCTTGACAGAATATACTGTGAAGTGAATTGACGGTATATTTGTGGGTGAAACGCAGCAGCTAATTTTGCACAGCAGTATCCTACAAACAGTTATGGATTGAGTGACCAAATAATTTTTTTTTTTAAATATTATTATCCCGGAAAAGCGATCCGACAATTTGACTAATAATTGGGTTACTACTTACTGCTAGATAAACAGAGTCATGTGGAGTAAGGAAATTTGCCCAACATTTCGCCCTTCCGGGAATAGAACCCAGGTCTCTCGCTTGCGAGGCGAGTGCTCTAACCACTGAACTACAAAAATATAATCCGTATCTATGGAAATACTGGCAATCATTCTATCCAAATGTTTTCATTCCCATTTCAAAAGCTTTATCTTTGTTCATGCCCTCCCATAAAGTACAGTAATCAAGTCAGCAGGATTTGACGGTCCAGTAATGAACAGCTTCACAGTGGTTCATGTTAGTCAGTTGTCCTGCCAGAAACTATGTTCAAGTAGAATGAGATCACTAGACAATTTGTGCTTTGCACTTACTTACCCCAAGAAGCTTACAATTGATGATACAATTTGAATATTTAAATTACATTTTACTGTTGAAATTGGATTTGTGATACTTTCTGACCTTTCCATATAAGCTCATGTCTCCTGAAGCCAACTAATAATTAACTTACAATTAATAGTGCACGTGACATTTGAACTTTTTTTTTAAGAGGCCAAGTCTATCTTTTTAATTGAGAGGTAAGCTGACTTTTCATGCACATTTTAAATGATGTCTCTTTGTTTTCCTCTTCATGTAGGATATTCTGAATAACCTTGACTCCTGTGACCTGGATGAGGATGACCTCATGTTGGATATTGACTTGCCTGAGGATTTTCCTTGCAAAATGGGTAAGTCTCTCATTCTTCTTTGGAAAGGTTATATTATTTTTCCTGGGGATTCCAAGTGTATACCTACCAGAAAAGATGTCTTTATTTAATCGGTAATGTTAAGCATTTAATGCATAATGTGACCTTTATTGTTTCCATAACTGCTTGGATGGTAGTTTGTGTGACGGCATGTTTAGCACACATTCACAATGTGTGGAAATAATGGAAAATCTCATTACAAATGCATATCCTCAAAATACACAAGTTATATCATGTGGAGCATCACATGAGCATTTTGAATGAATAAAATTATACATTCTGTTCTATCGATGTTTGCTTTTTCTATGCAACTGCTACAGGCAGATTATCAGCATGTTAAAAGGCCTGAAGTAGGAATGATATGAAATGCCAGATTTGATAGTGAATGCGATAGTTACTAGTCCTGTAGCTCAGTGGTTTGAGCACTGGCTTTGCAAGCGAGAGACCTGAATTCAATTCCAGGCATGGCAAAACCTTGGGCAAGTTTCCTTACTCCACACGCCTAATACTAATCCCTCCAAAAAACAAAACAATAATAAATTGGTCATTTTCAATCTACGACAGTTTGTGGGACATTGCTGTGCGCAATTGGCTGCCGCGTTCACAAACAAATATACAGTCAATTCACTTTACAGCGTGTTCTGTGAAGCGCTTTGGGAAGTCCTCCCAACATGAAAAGCGCTATATCAAATGCAAGGATTATTATTATTATCAACTAATTTCTCAATATAGTCCATTATCCACATTAATTGGATCTCCCCTATTTCTATATGAAAAAAATGCAGATTTTGTGCATGGTCATGCACTTTCTCGCTCATTTGCGTGCGTGTGTTTGAAATGTGACATCAGAGTATGGGTATAACATTTCAGGAGTTTGTATTTCTGTAGATGTTGGATCTTCTGTGGAGGTTGGAGCAATGCAAAGTTTTCCATTGAAATGAAAAAATGTTTAAGCTGAGTATTCTGGCCGGGTGGCTGAAACTCACGATTATTTTCAAAAATAAGCATCAACTATTCTGCATATTCAATTTACTTTGATTCTAAACTGCTTTAAATTAAAGTTTTGTTAACTGAAATATATCTATCTTGAATTGTTTACACTTTTTCTTCTTAACATTGGCTTTTACATTTGAGAAGAAAAAGATTTGTGTGGGCATACAACCATCTACTTGTCCTTTGGGACGGCAGTGACTTTGTATATCAATATAATCAGGTCCATGAAAAAGATGCAATACAAAATTACATTTGTATAGCATCTTTCACGTTAGGAGGACTTCCCAAGGCGCTGGACAGTCAGGGATTTGGACCCGAGCAGAGGGATTGGGATCAGGGAGGGTGAAGGGCGGACAAAATTTTATATTAAGAGCTTTATAGATGTGTTAACAGTTTATCTCACCATCTTATCATATTTTGCTGCTACATACTTGATCATGTAATCGGTCTCCTTTGGGGCACTGAATAACCATTTCATTGAAAGTGTTAAAAATAACTTTTATGCCTTTACTATATCAGCTTTGCAGTCATTTCATGTTTCCTTCCATTAACATGATATTCTTTATGAACGTACCTCACAGCAGGACTGTGTGTTTCTGATCATCTTTGGGCCTGTCTCTTTGCTTTCTGTGATTAGCAATCTCATTTAAATGTTTTATATTTTCAGTTGAGAACTCTTTGCCAACCTTTTGTTCATTTCAGTTTCCTGTAGACAAAGCTGAGTTTCGTGCTTAGATTTTAATGAAGGTTTGATTGAGATGGACGGACTGTGTTGAGCTGTTTGACCTCTGTAATGAATGACATGATAATGTAACACACACTGCCTTTGCCATGTGTTCAGACTTGTGGATATAATAGCCTTCAGTTTGATGCTGCACTGGAAAATAAAAAGTTATTCATTAACTGCTTCACTTTCAAACCACTCTTACTTTCAAATTACATTATCTCCTGGCCACTTCCCTACCTCTCCAATCTGCTCACACCCCACCCCACTACCCGCGGTCTTCGCTCAGCTGGCTCAGGTCTTCTGCATGTCCGCTGCCCCCTCCATTGTCTGCGTGGACAACCCTCATTCCCTAGTGGAACGTGTTTCGGTCTAATTTGGTTAATGGGGGAGAGCAGGCCTACTATCGCTCACCAATAAAAAATAAAATCCCAGTTCACCATATCGCAGGTTTCCGATGGCTCTTGAGGTGTCACTTCGAGGCGTTCAATGGCTTCTTTTCACAGGCAGACGAGAAAAAATTAGTGGCTTAGTGTTGTCTTGTGGTTATAGAATACAATATCTATAATAATACCTATATGAGTATGTTATGTCAAATTCCATTAGTTACTTAGAATCTCCAAGTGACATTATTTCTGTTAGCAAGTGTTAGTTAGTAAGTGCTGGTTTCAGAATGATACTAAAAAGCAATATTGTTGCAGTTGCATGGATTGAATTTATCTTGCAGGAAGTAACATCATGGTGGCAGAGTTAAGTGAATGGCAGATTAAGTAAATGGTTGCGTTTAAATAACAAGATTATTTATTAATAATAAAATGAACAAATTTGGAACAGAAATGAATGGTTTGCTACAAAATGTTATAGAAAGTGTCAAATGGGTGGAAACATTTAATAGCATAGAATAGTAGCTGGGTACTTTCTGTCGCTAAAAAACAATGCAATGCATCTCCAGGATGTTTGATCCAGGATTCATGAATAATTTAACTGAAATAGTTTTCCACAGCCATTGCACAACACTTGTTTCTCACCTTAATGAGCTTGCAAAAAACCTTTCGTAGACTTAATTTTTGTGTGGGGGGGTAGGGGTAATGTAAATTCTCCTAGCCCTTCTTGATCTTAGCAATGATCCTCCAGTTCTTAAACTTTTTAGAAGTTTTTTTTTTAAAAAATAGGCTTTGAGCTCACTGATTATAGTTTCACCTTAGACCTTGGCTTCCTGTTCAATTATTAAAAAAATGTGAAAATGTAATTGGAAATTTTGATGTTCAATGAGCACGCAAGTGACTATAGGAGTTGAACAGTGCATTATATTAAGTTCTGAATTCATAGCTTTAAATTTTTGTGTTTGTAACTTAATACAGACTCTCCGGGGAGTTTTATTCATAATGAATAGGCCAGGACTGTATTTATGTTGCAAGGTCTCGAAGATCAATGAAGTCATTTTTGTGTGCAGCTTTTTGACATTGAGTCAGATCATGCACAAAAGGAAGATTTATAATTACAAGAAAGTTCCTGCTGGCAATGATGACAATAACCGAATCTTTTTATTCAATAAGATTTTTGAATGTTCAGATTGGGGTCAGATGATATACACTGCTGAGAGAGCTTTGGAAAAGATTTTGTGCCAGATTCCATTGTTAAACAAATGACATGGGTGAGAATGAACACTGGAATACATTTGACTCTTTAAAATCAAATCATTATTGATTGCATTGCTTTTAATTTCAGCAAGCATTTTGATTTGTTGAATTGTACTTTTCATGTTGGAACATGGACATTTGGGTTCCATTAGTCTCTTATTGATGGTTATTGACAGATGAGGAAATGTGAAGGGCACTATATAAATGCAGGGTGTTGTCTCAATGCTCCTTGACATTTTCCCTTGAGGCAGCAGTGAACAATTGAGTTATTTCCCGCTGCATATGTTTCATCAAATCCATTTCAATTAAATATTTATAAAATAATCTACTGTAAATGCTGAAAGAAAACTACTACTTTACCAACATTGTCATTGTATTTCATTTTGTACTGCAAACAAACCCGATTTATATTATCCTAATTCTGTCCAGATAATATGTAATACCACAAATGGATCATGTCATTTGCTACTTAAAATTATAGCTTAATATTTGACATTCAAGAAATGACTATAAATAATGGTTCTAGGACTAAATCTAAGGGTGTGAAGATGGTTCTCATATAATACTTGCATGATGTTGAATGCTCTTGGAAGCTTTGTAAGCCAGAACAGGAGATTGGAATTTGGAACAAAAGATGGCAAAAAAATTAGCTAAAAGATGCAATAGAGGGAGAATTTTTGAAGTGAATTACTATTTTTAGAATTTTAAAATAGCAAGTATTTAGTTCTTTTGCAACCCACTAAAAATCGTTTAGACCTAATTTTCCTCACATGCATCCTCGAATGCATCTGCAATGCTATTTTTAGCTATCTTCAAATACCGTTTTATGATTCCTGTTCCTCACACCTTTTCATTAACATACAGTTTAATGAAGTGTAAAGTATAAATGACCCTTCCATTTGTTAATTGCTTTAAGACCAGAAGCAAAGTCACTTTGCTTCCAGCAACCCAAATTTCGCATTTTGGTTTCACACCCACCCTAAGTTATTTCAATTTATTGCAAGATTAACACCTCTGAATTGGCAGATTCCAGTTATAAAATCTCTGAAATACAAGATCTCGGACTTTGCATAAGCTATGTTAAATGTTATGGTCCTGACTGATGCGACTTATGTGAGTTTTACTGCATGACTTTCGCAAAGTACGTTAGCTGCCTGGAGTGACAGCAGAATCATGGTGGGCAAAGTGGCAAAGTCTTGAAAAAGGCCAAGTCATTTTCCTTGCAGTGGTAAAAGGCATATTAGTACAGGGTAGACAACAATATGGCGAGCCTTTTACAATGTTGATGAACTTGGATCTTTTTCTCTCTATGAATTCTATCTCTATACTATATATTCAGTTTGGATTTTTTAGGTGATGTAGGTATAATTCATTTATTACACAAAAACTGTGAAATTGAAATGTACTGAAATGATACTTTAATATACAATAAGAAAGCATGCAAGCTTATTAGGATGGCCATTCTGACCAATGATCCTGTTAGGTAAGTATCTACAAACTTTGGGACTGAAAATAGAATAGTTACGTTTTAAAGTGGCTCTGCAGCTAAAGACGTTGAGCTTTTTATGCCCAGTCAGAAGAACACTCGTGCCTCTCAGTCAAATGGTTGTGGGTTTTTGTTTATA